AACATAAAGATCAGGGGTTTTTTTTATACTTATTTTTTTGAATATTATTTTAACCAATTGTTTTGTGTATACATAAATAATCAGTAATCCTTCACATAAGTCAGGGTTCAATTTGACACTGTATGAACAGGACCCCAACTTTTAAAATGCATCAGCCTATTTATCAATGTTTTTTTTTGCGCAAACCCCTAGTGACCTCTTGCAGAAATCCATGGCTTTGGGGAACAGTTTGAGAAACACAGTTCTAACTAGTGAAGGTGGTTTCACATACACACCATGAAGACATTGTTAAATACATTCTCTATTATTATTATTATTATAATTTTAAATAATATATGAATTTGAAGGCTTTATTGTAATAAAGTATAATTTTCCAACAATATGCTGTACATGTATAGTAAAATCATGAATATAAAATTAAACAAAATTTACTCAAAAATGCATTTATACTATTTATCAATGTTTCTTGCAGGAACTTCTAGCAACCTCTTACAGAACCATAGAGTTTTTTTTTTGGGGGGGGGGAACACTGGTTGAGAAATACTGATATACAGAGTAGACAATTCAGCTGATCTTGAAGGAATGGCAATATCTCAGCATAGAACCATGGAAATATTCCCTCTGAATTAGGGGGAATTAAGCCAATAAATAATATTAAAATTGCACAATCATAACTGAAATGAGATAATGTTAGACCATAAATAATATTATAGTTTAATTGTTAAATTGGTAAATAAAGTAAGATAAAGATACATCAAAGATAAAATTATAGATATATTTTTATTTAGCAAAAATAAAAATCTTTGAAAATTTACTGACAAAAAAAATAAAAATCTTTGATTTTTGGAATTTTTGATAATTTCAGAAGAGAATGTGTACCCGTCTGTGGATAATAAGCAGATATTGGTTGTATAAATCAATCAGGCTCAAAATAATCAATAAATCAATGAGACTCTAGTTATGATCACTTATGGATATATACATGCACTTGTGCATTTAGTGAATTGCATACAGATGCGCAAAAATTGCTCTCAATTGCACAAAATGAAAACTTTTTCTTTAACTTTTATGTGTGCATAAAACAAATGGTCTATAAACACCATGCATTTTTATTGCCATTTCCATGTGGAGATTAGAACAAAGGAGAATCTTTTTTTTGTGTGTGAAAAAAACATTTATGTTCAAAATAACTGGTTTTAGTTGTGACTAAAACCAGGTCCCCCACCAAGATTTTCTGGAGAACAGGGTAGCAAGACACTCAGCATGATTAAAAACAAGACCTGTCAAAGAATGGGAGAACCTTGAAGGATCAATGGCCATCTAACCCCATGCGTGAGATTAATCTCCATAGCTATATATATATATATATATATAGCTAATACAATGATGAGACTGTTTACGAAATCAGTCCTTGGGAATGAGACTGCTTACGAAAACAGACCAAAGGAATGAGACTGCTTACGAAAACAGACCAAAGGCATGAGACTGCTTACGAAAACAGACCAAAGGAATGAGACTGCTTACGAAAACAGACCTTGGGAATGAGACTGCTTACGAAAACAGACCTTGGGAATGAGACTGCTTACGAAAACAGACCTTGGGAATGAGACTGCTTACGAAAACAGACCTTGGGAATGAGACTGCTTACGAAAACAGACCAAAGGAATGAGACTGCTTACGAAAACAGACCATAGGATTCAGACTGCTTAAAAGGACAGTCCATAGTAATGAGTAGCAAGACAGCATGATTAAAAACAAGACCTGTCAAAGAATGGGAGAACCTTGAAGGATCAATGGCCATCTAACCCCATGCGTGAGATTAATCTCCATAGCTATATATATATATATATATATATATATATATATATATATATATATATATAGCTAATGCAATGATGAGACTGTTTACGAAAACAGTCCTTGGGAATGAGACTGTTTACGAAAACAGTCCTTGGGAATGAGACTGCTTACGAAAACAGACCAAAGGAATGAGACTGCTTACGAAAACAGACCAAAGGAATGAGACTTGATGAAAACAGACTAAAGGAATGAGACTGCTTAAAAGAACAGACCATAGGATTCAGACTGCTTAAAAGAACAGACCATAGGAATGAGACATGACATGGCATCACTGGCTAGAAAACCTCCTAGACTCAAGTAAACAGCCAGTATGAAGAGTTCCCTTGATGGAACCCATGGTCATGCCTTCATAACCAAGGCAAGCCTTCACGTTGGATGATATCAACTGTAGTTTAACCTGGAAATAGATGGGCTATTAGGTCTACTTAACCAAGCCATGTTACACATGAATGAATACCTCACTGGATTTAAATCGATATGTGGAGGAAAATGGTCAGATGCCTAGATGTGCAGTGACCCTAGGACCGCACTTGGTCATCAGATTAATGATGGAGGATGTCCAAAATAAAAAATCTATTTTCTTCTTTCTAATTTTGATTCACATATTTTTTTATGTGCCATGTTACCTCAGGACATGAGCAATCATGGCTCTCCACAACTTCCTGTTTTTGTTGCTCTAGGTATCTTCTGACTCTTTACTGTCCCTCTTTGTCTGTGTTTTACCATCCATATGCTGCTTCTTTTATGTGCCATATATTTTAGGATATATGTAATTATGGCTCTCCATAGCTTCCAGTCCTTTGTTTCTCTAAGTAACGTTTGGCTCTTTACCATCCTTCCTTATCCTTGTTCTGCCAGCCATATGCTGTTTTTTTTTTATATGCCATGTCCATTAGGATGTAGGTAAGCATGGCTCTCCTTAACTTCCTGTCTTTTGCTGATCTAAGTAACTTTTGACCCTTTACCAAACTTCTTGGAATTTGCTTTACCATCTGTTTACTAAAAAAACTTGTTTAGTGACTTGTTACTTTTGCTTTTAATCCTCCTTTTATCTTTTTATCTTTTGTGAGTGTTAAATTCACCAAACCTTTTTTTGCAATTTATGTGTCCCGGAATTTTCAGTTGTCTTTTTCTGATAGTAAGTTTTCTTGTAGTTCCTATTTTCTTTATAAATTCCTCATTGCCTAAATGTTCTGTCTATGATATTTTCAGTATTCATCGGTAGAACCATATCTCTGTCACTTCAATAAGATTGAAATTATGACTTATGCCATCTATTGTAATTGAACTCATAATGCAAGATTTGAAAGACCAACAGAGCTTCCATCACATATCAAATAGAGACTCATCAATATGTCTATCTTGGATATATAAAGATAAATCAATAAAAAAACTATCCTTCTGACACACTGTTTTTTTGTGGATATGTTTGTTAAACTTTATCAAAAGATCAATTTCAGATCATAGCAAAGAATCAGTCATTTTTTATCAAGTTGTCATTACTTGAAATAAAAGATGTTTATTGTGGATTCAAAATCTACTTTACACACAAAGTATGATAAAACAAATTTCATATTTTATATCTATACAAATAAAATGAAGTTTCTGCTTAAGTCTTTATCTGCCATACACTCAGAAACTATTGGATGGATTTAAATCAAACATAGCATGTAGATATCCTATAACCCAGGCAGGCTATAGTAAACTGACCTAGTTCAACTCTGAAGGTCAACAGTATGGTTAAAGATGCCATTTCTCATGGAAGTTGAATATTTATTGCCATGTAAAAATATACTGGTAAGGGAGGTAAATCAACTTTCGGTAGTAAATTTATGCATGGTTATTCCCCTTAGTTATTTTCATAATCTATACAAATAAAATTAAGTGTCTCTGTTCTAATTTAGATAAAATTACTTCTCAAGTAATGCCAGGAACTTTTGCTAGCATCCACAGAAATACAAGAAACAAGGCCTGTAGAACTGCTAAAGGTAATTTCAATTTTAGTTATCCAATGTTTCAAATTTAAAATCCGGGATTTTTTTATGAAAAAGATACTGGCTTTGAATTTGCATGGAAAATGGTCACAAAGTTTTGGTAAATGGAAAAAAGTGAGCATCTTAAAACAAGCTAAAGGAGAAAGGAGTGATATGATTAAAGATATATCATCCAGTCTGGAATACATCTTCTGAAATAATTTGAAAAATATCAGAAGAATCTACAATTTCATAAGAACTAATTTTAAATATAATTGAAGATGGTTTATATGCTACATGAGAAAAAGATCTATTAAAAGATAAAAGGTAGACATATTTTTTAATAATTAACAAAGCATCTCTTAAAATATAAAGAAATAACAGGTTGCATGTGTTACCTACGCAGTAATTACAAATATAATTGAAACTGCATCATGTTCAACCATTTTAAAGTTGTTCCTAGGTTCTGAGACAGGATTAAAAAACAGTCCATACGAATGAGACTGCTTATGAAAATAGCTTGTAGGAATGAGACTGCTTACGAAAATAGCCCATAGGGATGAGACAGCTTATGAAAATAGCCCGTAGGGATTAGACTGCTTACGAAAACAGACCGTAAGAATAAGACTGCTTACGAAAAGAGACCATAAGAATGAGACTGCTTATGAAAATAGCATGTGAGAATGAGACTGCTTACGAAAACAGTCCATAAGAATGAGACTGCTTACAAATACAGTCCTTAGGAATGAGACTGCTTACAAATACAGTCCTTAGGAATGAGACTGCTTACAAATACAGTCCTTAGGAATGAGACTGTTTAAAAGAACAGTCCATAGGAATGAAACTGCTTTAAAAAAAATAGGCCATATGAATAAAATTGCTTAAAAACAGTCAATAGGGTTTAGATTCCTTGAAAAGAAAAAATTGTCACCATTTAAGCATCCATTTGGTATTTACAATGAATTAAATTCTTATAACAAGAAAATTGTTTCCAATTATTTTTAAGGTCTTTGGCAATGCCTCTTGGTTCTAATCTCACACACATTGACAGCATTTGATTCTTTTACAAAATTCACAAAAAATTGGTTAAAAAAGATGAAAGAAAAATCTGAAGATGAAAAATCAAAAAAAAAAAAAAGAAAAAGAGAATAGACAAAGATTACTTACAACTTCAGCCAGAGCTGATATGACTTTCCCGAGGGTGGTCAAAGATTTATTAATATTAGCGCCTTCTTTCAGTCGGGTCCCCTTTGCTCCTGTGGAATCGGCACGTTCACTGCCGGCCAAATCCACCAAACTGATCTTACTAACCTGAAAAATAAAATTTGGGAGGAATTATTTCTAAATCTTTAAAAAAAAAAAATAAAAAATAAAATAATTGAGGTTTTCAAATAGTCTTTGAATATATTTTTTCAATCATATTAATATGTAGTAATTCATGGGCATCAGTTTATTACTTAACAATAGAAAACCGATCCCCCACTTTATGTCCAGTAGAATCTTATATTAGCTTACTAATTATGCAAAAAATGACATTTTGTTAAGTAATATTATCAGGTTTTCACATGCAGGTCTTCATAAAGATATAAAAGAACTACCACTGGAAGGGAGATAAATCTTAACAAACAGTTACAGACAAAAAACACTTTACATATTATATATTATTGTTGTCATGGTTATGAGGCAATTCTGTTCATAAGGTCTCAACAGTTTCTAAAAATATTTTTTCCTACCTATGTAATTATTCATAATTTCAATGAACCAAGATGAATAAGTAGCCTAAGTCAGTATCCCGTTTTTTTTTTAAATTTTCATCCACAGATAGAATATTTTCCATCACAGTATTTATAATTTCATAGAATGAAAATGAATAAGTAGCCTATGTCAGTTCCTCTTATGTACAGTACAAAAGCAGCTGATAAACAGTATATAAACAAGGATATAAGAACAAGGTAGGTATTTTTTTTTCAAAATGATTTTGTGGATACACTCAATTAAACTTTGGTTTGTGTCAGAAGCCAGCTGAAAAATCACAACTTGGAAACGCTGATTTTCAAGGAAGGGTGGCCTTTTACATTTTTTTTAAATTATTCCCACCACTGATTTGATTTTATGCCAAAAGTAAACCCAGTTAAAGAAATATTTATACAAAATCTTCTGCACAATCATCAAATAGTTCTTATCACAATTAAAAAATAGTGATTGTTCTTTTTTATTTCACAGCCTTTCAATATCTATGTCATCATGTACATCTATACGATACTAAAACTCTATTTATGTATATATGTTCCTGAGATACAGCTTAAACAATATATAATACCCCAACCAATTAGGAGCATATTGTACATTGAACCACTGCCAAATGCAGTACCAAATTTCATTAAAATTAGACATGAAGTTCTTGGGCTAGGACTGTTTATTTTTTCATTTTTTAATAAGAAATTCAGTATTTGTTTTTAATATACCTTCTATCAATCTGTAAATATAAACACTTGCATGTTATACTCCATGTGCAATGGATGGCAGAACAGGGTTTAGGTGAGATAACAAACAAACAAAATTTGTTATGAGCTACAAAGGACAGGACATTGTGGAGAGCCATGATTACCAACATCCTGAAGAGATACGGCACATAAAATTTTCCTTTTTCATAATTTATTCTTAATTATCTTTGTTCTGAGCTATATGAACTCAACCATGCTTATCTCTGAACGCATCCAGTTAATATATCTATTTCCTATCATATTCATTTATCTATCAAATTGGTTGAGAACAATGTGTACCTTATGTCATTCAATACCCATCTATCAACGTTAAGCCATGACTCATTGGAGAGAGGAGTTGATATTCTCAGAGGATTAAAATCTTTATAAGCCCCAAGCTCGACAAATGGCGCCTTACTAATCGAAGGATGTTAGATTGCTAATCAAACATTAATTTTATCAGAGGTGAATAGCTGAAGATTTTCTTTCAGTGGTTATGTAATTAAGTGATTTCAATTACAGTGGGGGATATTTCTGTCCTTGTTGACTTTAACCATACACAGACATAAGTATATATTTGTGTTTTGTGAATTTGAAAGTATAGTTATACTCAATTATATGTATGATCATAAGCATAAGCCAATAGATAAACACTTATGTATATGTGTGTGTGTGTGTGTGTGTGTGTGTGTATATATATATATATATATATATATATATATAATATGTGTGTGTGTGTGTGTGTGTATATATATATATAAGTATGTGTGTGTGTGTGTACATATATATATATATAATACAAATCAATATGACCTATCAAAATACATAAAATTACTAAAATTTAACATTTTAAAAGGTGAGCATTTTTTAGTTAAGAAAGTGTTCAGTATATTTACATCTACTGGCTTGAAATATTTCCAAGAAATCAGAAAAATATAAATCCTCTGACAGGATTTGAAACTGCGTCCCCTAGTAGAAACTGTCATTATATATATATATATATATATATATATATATATATATATATATATATATACACACACACACACACACACACATTATTGTTGGTCTATTCTTAAAATATTTTGACAAGATGCACTGCAATATACAACAAATGATGATTGTACAGAATAAAATACCAAATGAATTTTCATTTGAGTAGCTTTATTTACAATAATATTATCAGTAGAAATCAATAAAATTGAAGAGTATTATAAAAGCATATCCCACTATTCATATATAACTTATAAACAGGAATCAATACATTTACATATCGTCCACTTCAGACTCCTCCCTGATCTTTTGAACAGGAGTAGAGGTTTATTTCTTGTTTCCTGTATTAGACTGGTTATCATATCCCTTCTAAAGTTTTCTCATTCTGTCACTCCCAGTAGCTCTTTGTGTCTTAGTGGCTTTATCACCTTGCTTACAGGGAATTGATTTAAAGAAATAAAAAAGATTATGCTCAGAATCTGGGGTTGCATTATATATGAGCTATACAAAAAAAATCAGGTTTCACAAAAGAATTCAGGAGCCACACTATACTTGATGTTGGCTTATACATGAGCATGTATGTTAATTTAGATAAATATAAAAAATGAACATACATCGAGAAAAACAAAATAAAAAAATGGTAAATCTTTCGATGCCACTGCTGCAAAAGGCAAAGAAATATGTGCAGAGATATTTATTAGCAGAGCGATAACCCAAGAGTTTGCAAACCGATTTTTCACTTAATCCATTATTCATTAATTAGGTCTACTGTTTAGTTTGAGGACATGTGGCCCATGAAATCTGGAGTAAACCATGAATGTATATATATATATATATATATATATATATATATATATATATATATATATATAAACTGTGATGACTCATTCAATCTAAAATGCTTGTGAGGGATTAGAAGCAATATGCTAATCCATCATTAGCAGTTCACCTGAGATAAAAAAATAATCCACCAAAAATCTGACTGAATAAAAGCATGAAAGCAAAATTTCATAAATGGTCAGCCAGATGAGTTAGTAGGGATCAAAACCCGAGCTCAGGTTTGTATAAGTAAATCTATGTAGGTATTTGAAGGTAATTCTTTCCCTAATTTGTACATTGTAAATATATTTATATGAATTTAAGTGGCAATATTTTGCACATATTTTCCTGAACTAGGTAAATAAAGAAGAGGAGAAGGGATGGAGAAGGAGTGAAAAAAAGCAGGAAAGGAGGAGGGATGGAAAGGGTGAAGAAGAAGGGGGAGAGGAGAAAGGGTGAAGAAGAAGGGGGAAAAGAGAAAAGGTGAAGATGAAGAGGGAAAGGAGAAAGGTTGAAGAAGAAGAGGGAAAGGAGAAAGGAGGGTGAAGATGAAGAGGGAAAGGAGAAAGGAGGGTGAAGATGAAGAGGGAAAGGAGAAAGGAGGGTGAAGATGAAGAGGGAAAGGAGGGTGAAGATGAAGAGGGAAAGGAGAGTGAAGATGAAGAGGGAAAGGAGAAAGGAGGGTGAAGATGAAGAGGGAAAGGAGGGTGAAGATGAAGAGGGAAAGGAGGGTGAAGATGAAGAGGGAAAGGAGGGTGAAGATGAAGAGGGAAAGGAGGGTGAAGATGAAGAGGGAAAGGAGAAAGGAGGGTGAAGATGAAGAGGGAAAGGAGAAAGGGTGAAGAAGAAGAGGGAAAGGAGAAAGGGTGAAGAAGAAGAGGGAAAGGGTAAAGGGTGATGAAGAAGAGGGAAAGGGTAAAGGGTGATGAAGAAGAAGAGGGAAAGGAGGATGAGGAGGAGAAGGGGAGGATAAATGAAGAAGAAGAAAAGAAGAAGGAAAAAAACAGAAAAAGGGAAATAAGATGAAGGAGAAGAAATAGAAAAAGGAAGATAAATTAAAGCGGAGATGGGAGAAAATGAAGAAAGAGAGCATGAAAGTAAATGAAAGAGCAGGTGATAAAGGGAAAAGAACACAGGAAGAAGGATGAAAACAAAAAAAAAAGAGGAGAGATTGATAGCAATGTTTTCATTGTTGTCCATCTTTCCTTGAATAAAATAAAAAAAAGAAAATGAAAAAACATTCACTTACTCGTTCACCAGTTATTTTGGTTGAAGAATCATACTTCTTCTGTGTAAATATAATTGTAAATACAGCATGAGAACGACTGCTCGTTTCGTTCATGTTAGTGGCAGCCACAGTTCTGCAAGACAACAAGTAAAATCATGAGACAAAAAAATCATAATTCTTTTGATTGAGCCTATTTGGTAGGACTATAAATTCCTAGTTATACTCGATACAGCCTATTTGGTAGGACTATAAATTCCTAGTTATACTCGATACAGCCTATTTGGTAGGACTATAAATTCCTAGTTATACTAGATACAGCCTATTTGGTAGGACTATAAATTCCTAGTTATACTAGATACAGCCTATTTGGTAGGACTATAAATTCCTAGTTATACTAGATACAGCCTATTTGGTAGGACTATAAATTCCTAGTTATATTCGATACAGCCTATTTGGTGGACTATAAATTCCTAGTTATACTAGATACAGCCTATTTGGTAGGACTATAAATTCCTAGTTATACTAGATACAGCCTATTTGGTAGGACTATAAATTCCTAGTTATACTAGATACAGCCTATTTGGTAGGACTATAAATTCCTAGTTATACTAGATACAGCCTATTTGGTAGGACTATAAATTCCTAGTTATACTAGATACAGCCTATTTGGTAGGACTATAAATTCCTAGTTATACTAGATACAGCCTATTTGGTAGGACTATAAATTCCTAGTTATATTCGATACAGCCTATTTGGTAGGACTATAAATTCCTAGTTATACTAGATACAGCCTATTTGGTAGGACTATAAATTCCTAGTTATATTCGATACAGCCTATTTGGTAGGACTATAAATTCCTAGTTATACTAGATACAGCCTATTTGGTAGGACTATAAATTCCTAGTTATACTAGATACAGCCTATTTGGTAGGACTATAAATTCCTAGTTATACTAGATACAGCCTATTTGGTAGGACTATAAATTTCTAGTTATACTAGATACAGCCTATTTGGTAGGACTATAAATTCCTAGTTATACTAGATACAGCCTCAGGTTCTATGCTAACAGTTTTTTCTCTTGTACTTCTCGTTGTGGAACACTCTTCTGACCTCTTGCTTTCCAGTTAACTTTGATCTTTAAAAAGTTAAATGCAATGTCAATTGTTATCTTCTGCCTTCTTAATCCCTGTGCTTTTATTGTTCACTCTCCTTAATAATTTTTTTTTTATATTCTTTCACACTCAGTAATCCCTTGTTTCTTAGTGGCTTTATTGCCTTCCTTGGAGTAAAATGATTGAAAAAAAGATAAAAAGATTTAATTTGTTCTCTGCTTCGAAAATGTAGGATGTCATCTGTCCTCTGGTTGTTGGCCACATATTCAGTTTCAAAAGCATTGATGTAGAGGCCTATCTCTCTGGAGAGAAAAATGTTAGAGGTTGGAAGTATTAACATTTTTGTTAGGAGTGTGTCCCACTTGTTTACAAATCAGTGGTAAAGGTTTGAATTTTATACCCACCATATAAGTTGACTGCTAGTTTCGGAAAGACTTTTTAAGCTTGAAAATCAAACTTTTCCAACACAATTTATTGTAAGTCTCTCAAATGCACAAGCTGTAAATTCACACTATCATCTACTCAAACAGGGGTATCCACATAAATAATGTTTGGAGTAGGAGGAAACATGATATTTTGTATAAACCAAGAATTAAACGCATTATTACAAGGAAGTACAAATATTTCGTAATGTAAGACTCCCACATCTTTTGTAGATGTGTAATGTTTCAGAATGAGAATTGGCAAGTCAAATTCAAATTTCAATAGAGTTTATTATGTTCACTTTTGCACAAATTCTCTTGGGGAAAGATATGAATCTTTTTTTTCCCTCCTGATGATTAGTTAAATAGCAGGACAGACTGGGTTCTCTAGCCCATGCAACACATCCATGCCACAAATGTTGTCCAAGGGAATGCAGCTCAGCATTGGCTGCTTGCAGGAGTTGCCAGAACAAAATTGAACTGTCTTAATTCTGAATTCAACTCTGAATTCACATCACTCCAGAGTGGCTCCAGATGTGAATTCAGAGTTGTCCTCCTAGTCTGGTTACCAACCATGGCTACAAAGCTCAGGCTTCCCTACTATTTACCCATAGTTGGAAGTTTTAAATCCAGAGTTTTTCCTTCTCTTAAACCAGTTGCCACCCAAGTCTATAGAACCCAGTCTGTCTTGCTATTTACCCATAGCTAGGGAGGGAGGAGAAGAGATGGATTCATATCTTTCCAAAAGGTATTAGCACATAAATGAATGTAATGAACTCAATTGGAATTCAAACTCAGCTCTCCAGTTCCTCAATCTGACTGACAATCCATTACTCCATCATGCCTTCCAAAGTAAAACACATTTCTAAAAAAAGAGAAATTGCATTGACTCAGCTGGAATGGGTTGAAAAGAAGTAGAAGTAGTGACCAAGAACATCAGTTTGAAAAAAAATATATTATTATTATTATCATAAGTAATAATGGCTGCTTGTTTCCAAGTACTCCTGTCTGTTAGGGTGGTTAGCAACTCCTTGCTCAGACACATCTTTTATTTCTTCAACAGAGTTAACCTATATTTTCTACAACTATGCTGAGCAGATTTAGTTACAATTTCTTGGAGAGAACACATAATGTGACATGATAAACAGCTGAACAAGTCCAGAATGCTCAAAAATTTGGGTCACAAGGATTTATGAATTTGCAAGCATAACCATTCTGAATGGCTTTGTTTACCTAATTTCCCTCACAAGGCTTTGGTCAACCCTGGGTAGCATTTTCAGGAACTTGCTAACAGTGCTGCACACTGGGATCATCTCCACAAGCCAATATTATCAAAATGTCACCTTTTTCTTTTATAAATAAGAGTGCATAGGTTTGCTTATCACATGATTCACACTCCTTCCCTGTCTTCTTAATAGGAGTAGAGGTTTATCTTTTGTTTCCTGTTTAGGATTGGGTTTCTGGTTCCTTCTAAAGTCTTTTTCATTCTCTTTCACTACCAGTAGCTCCTTGCATCTTAGTGGCATTATCACCTTGCTTGGAGTGAATAGAGGAATAGAGGTTTATTCCTTGTTTCCTCTTTAGGAATGGATTTCTGGTTCCTTCTAAAGTCTTTATCATTCTCTTTCACTCCCAGTAGTCCCTTGCATCTTAGTGGCATTATCACCTTGCTTGGGGTGAATAGAGGAGTAGAGGTTTATCCCTTGTTTCCTGTTTAGGATTGGGTTTCCAGTTCCTTCTCCTAAATTGCTGTTATTCTTTTTCATTCCTAGTAGCCCCTTGAGTCTTAGTGGCATTGCCGCATTGCTTGGGGTGAAATTATTATTATTATTATTATTATTATTATTATGAAAATATATTATATATTATATTAAAAAAAAAAAATCAACCACAAGATTTGAACCTGGGCCTTATGGTTAGAATGCTATACATGTCTATGCACAAACAGAGAATGCCACATAATGTGATTACTTTGAGTCAGAATATTCTTCATCCTGGGTATGATGATAAACTACATCCGTATCCTGGATAAGACGATAAACTACATCCAACAGCAAGGCCACTGACCAGGAGGTTTTGAGGAGCGTGGAACCATCTCTTAATTGCTGGTGTTCCCAGGTCCACCCTGACCCGAGGTGGCAGAACCTGTTAGGGTCCCAGCTATGGGTAAATAGTTAACCCCCAAACTAGGGCCAAAACACTATGAAAGTGTAAAAATAGGTTTTAATAGCAGAAATACTTTGTAAAAAATTATTACCATCTATACATTTAAAAAAAAAAAAAAATTAGCAGCAATAAAAATCTTGTCAGCATTAAATAACCTATTGAGGTTGGTATGCTGTAAAACAAAACATACCAAACCAAACAAAATATTCTTAATAGTAATAACTGGCTGATATTCAAATTGAAATAATTTAGATCAATTGTTATTAAATTCATTTTTATAAAAGTGAAAAAAATATGGGAATATATCAAAAACTTTAATTACAAGATAATTTTTAATTCCTTTTAAATAAAAGATCTTCTGACTGAAGAATTCTGATAAACATTTTATAGCCTTTCTGATTAAGTATAATAAAAAGCTTCTTTCTAAATATAAAGAAACACATACAAATTTAACAGTGTATATAATTTTGTCTAGATTTCTAAATTTTGTTGAGAGCAAAGTGTGGTATTTTGAGCACAAGCTCTGAAAGAAGATATTTAAAAGGCAGAAAACTTACCTAGCTTTGTTGCCCTCATCAATGAGTTTTCCAATATCCTCATAAGATTGCACAGCCAACTTGGAAAGATCTTCAACATATGGACCCAGCAAGGGATGTTCTCTCACTCTTAAGTTGTTTTTATTACTGGGATTAAGCAGATCACGCACACGTTCACAGTAGATTTCCATATAGCTCACCTGAAAGCATAGAGATTAACAATCAATTTGACTTTTATAAGAATTAGAAATCCTTCCAACTTTTATTATTGGTGTCCATAATCTTAACAACATTAGATATGCAGAATACACAGTGCTGATAGCAGACAGAGACAGAAACTGCAGGAACTCTTACAGAAGGTAGTGAAGGAAAGTGAAAAGAAAGGATTAAACATCAATTGAATGTGTCGTTGTCTGCAAAAGGAACAGCCCAACATGCAAACTATGAATTGGAAATACCAAAATCAGGCAAGTTTAAAAATTTATATATCTAAGAAATGTTTTAACAGATAACTAAATATGCTGCCACATCTGGTCTGGTGCTCCTGCTATATATTTAGATATTCTCACTAGAACAATTACAACTGAGTAGTGAGTTCGATCCTCACTGGGTGCCTCCTAATTTCGGCCTTGTGCCACATCTAAGCTACGCTTGGAAAATCACTATATTTAGATATCATACTTATTATAAAACCCAGGTTGTGTGTGTGTGTGTGTGTGTGTGTGTCTGTTTCGTTTATATATTGGATCGGATTTCCTACATTTTTCAACTGATTTCAACAAAACTTCACAGGACTAAGTAAAATTACCTTGCGGTGGTTCTGACAGTGCCAAAAATTGGAAAAACACAATTGTTTTTGCACAAAATCAATTTAAAAACCCAGGTTGTTTGTGTGTGTTCGTTTATATATGGGATCTGATTTCCTACATTTTTCAACCGATTTCAACAAAACTTCACTTTTTTTTTTTTTTTGGCTGGTAGTGTTATTGTCTTGCACACTTTTTTCTTTATTTTTACATTCAGAATGGTTTAAAAATTCCATTTACAAGACAATTATAATTCTATTCAATCGGTAGATGCATAACGATTGAAAAGAATGTTTTTGTTTGAGTTTGGGTTTGACCAATTCGTAAAAAAAAAAAAAACAAAACAAAGAAAAACTAATTAAGACATGCGTTTCCATCAACCTTAAACAATAATCTTTGTCAATTTTATTTTTCAGTTTTTATGATGGTCGATACTTGATCTATCTCTTACTGTTGCAATGCCGGGCTCTACTGCTAGTTCTTGATAAAATCCAAAGAAGAATCGGCAATGTTATTTGTCTTGACCTGGCATCTTGGCTTCAGTCACTTTCACACTGACATAACATAGCTTACCTGTACCTTTTCTATAAATTACTTTTATGGTAATTGTTCTGATGAACTTTACTCAATGGTGCCTAGATTCTCATCATTTTATAGTTGAAATGGTTAGATATAACTGTAACTTCTATGCTAACAGATTTTCCTATTACACTTCTCGTTTTTGGAACTCTCTTCCAGCTTCTTGCTTCCCCGTCAACTTTGATCTTCAAAAATTTAAATACAATTTCTGTTGTTATCTTCTATCTTCTTTTATTGTTCTCTCTCCTTAATAGTGTTTTTTTTTTCTCATATTCTCTAACGTTCAGTAACCCCTTGCATCTTAGTGGCTTTATTCCTTGCTTGGGGGTGAAATGATTAAAAAAATGTGATGACACTAAAATCAAAAGGAATATTGGAATAGCCAAAAATGCTTTCTAAAAGCTAAGTATTAAAAACAGAAAAAATTCATTAGAAACAAAGAAAAGATTATGAAATGTCAGTCCTCCTATATGGTAGTGAATGCTTGACAATCTTTTCCCAAATGAAGAAGAGACTTGAAATGTGGGTCTACAGAATACCATAGACTGAACATGTGAGCAACAAACATGTGTTATGAAAATGGGGAAAAAAAAAGGACATTTATACTTAGCATCAGAAAGAGGCAGTTGAAATTTCTGGAGTCCCTACTGAGAAAATTTAATATTCATATTGAAGGCAAGAGGAAAGCAGTGCATAACATACCTAATGAGCTTGTGTAAATGGTTGACAGGACAGGGATTAGGAGAGATAGCAAAAAAAAAAAAAAAACCTTTACTAAAGGCTACAAAAGAGAGAAAGTTGTGGAGAGCCATGATCCCCCACTCTATCAAGTTATATCGTAGGAGCAATGAGGATAATTTCATATATATATATTTTTTATTATTTCATACTAAGCAAGGTAATAAAGCCACTAAGACACAAGGGCTTACTGGGTATAAAAAATATGAGAAAAAGAAACATTATTAAGGAGAGAAAATAATAGAAAAATAGGAACTAAGAAGACTGAAGATAATGATTTACATTGCATTTCAGTTTTTGAAGATCAAAGTTGATTGGAAAGTAAGAGGTGGGAAGAGAGTTCCACAAGTGAGAAGTGCAAGAGAAGAAGCTGGAACTTACAGTTACATTTGTAATTTCAACTGTTAAATTATGAGATCTTGCCACCAATCAAAAAATTCATAAAGTCTACATACAAAAGAGGAAAGTGATATTCATTCTTGAAAAAAACAAGAAACACAGGTGGGGGATGGAGTAAGGCTGGTTTTCATCTGTTCCATGTTCTTACCTACCATTCTTACTACAGTCACCATAATACCATTATGTCTCTATAAAGTTCTTACTAGTCCCCATATGTGCAATTCGTAGTGGGCAGGGGGAGCAACAACTTTTAAAAAATCTAACCCCAATGTGTACCAAAGATGAAAGCTCATCATAACAATTAGTATGAAAATTTTTATAGAAATGGCACAAGGAAGCTATGTTACTATGTATCTCTCATGGATCTTAAATGCCTATAGATCTTATATTGCAAACTCTAAAATGACATATCCATCAGAATAGACAAAGCTTTAGGGTGTGCCCTTGACAGATCCCTTGGATTCAATGGCAGCATGAAAGAGACCAACTTTGTCATGAAAATATTTGCAGAAAAGGCACAAAGAAAATATGTGCATACGAGATTTCTGCGTTCTCTGTAATAAACAAGTCTGAAAATACTTGCATATTCTGATGGGTTTATTTTACACAATTGCAATGTTTCCACAATCTGCATATTCTCTGTTTTCTATTGATTTTTAATGGAAATGATGCTTTTTCACTTTTCAGCAAGTAGCAACCTACCTGCTTTTTAAAATAGCTAATTTCATTGTGTGCTGCTTTTTCTCTCTTCTTGATTTCTACAGTATCGTAACTGCAAACCAACCTATCTTCTTAAGTGAAATAATATATGCCTTTGTGATTTGATTGAAAATATATCAACTCAATTAGATTCCATTCAAAGCTAATTCCAGTAGCACAAGTCTTAGGAATGGTTAAACCGAACTGTGTATGTTAAGAAGATCTAAATTATGGCATATTGCAAAAAATTGAAATATGCTTATTAATCTTAGCAATTTCCTTTTTTTTTTTTTTTTTAGGTTATTTAATGCTTTCTCCTGTTCTTCTTGATTTAATACTGATGCCTAAAAAAAATGTCTATTAGCAGAGTAGACCAGCACATGTAATGCAAAGAGAAAACAATGACATAATCAAAATGTTAACATTCCACATTATTCCAAATAGAAAGCTTAGAAGTTAACCCCCATCAATACTGGAAAGAGTGATAAATGCTACTGTATTTGAGAAACCCATTTTCCAAAATTTCAACCAAAATCAGTACTGCTGCTCCATCAATGAATGCCAGATATTTCCTTGTAGGGAAACAGCTAATACTGCCATTATCACTTGTAGAATATACCAATTTTATAAAAAATGCTATTTGTAGATTGATTGCTATATATAAATGTGTATTATGCAACTTTTGAAGACCTAATTTTGAAGCTAAATTTAAGAGGGTCACATCATGAACAAGATATAAAATTAGCACATGTCCTGCTGGCCCTGGGCTATGTCATTGACCAAACTATATATCCATTTTACTATAGTCAAATTAGCTTCAAAATTAGGTCTTCAAATATCACATGATATACGGTAATTGATTTGTTTTTTTTATGACTTATTACCCTTCTGTAGGTTATTTAAAGCCAGAAAATATTTCTTTTAGAAATTTTTTCGGATATAATGATTTACTGATATAAGTCCTACTAATTAACCCATAGCTGGGGGAGAGAAGAGGTGGATTCAACTTCTCTCAAGGGTATTTGCACATAAGTGAATATAATGAACCAAACTGGAATTGGAACTTGTCTCTCTGTTGAAAGCTCCAATTCTGAGCTGTTATCCATTACACCACCTACACATCCAAGCTTACAGCACCTGGTATTCCTTAGCAGTCACCCATCTAGATATTGACCAGGCTCAATATTACTTACCTTCCATAATTGTACAAGAACTTGTGATTCAACATAATATGGCCATAAGCCCAGTATTTTTAGAGTATATAAAATTTATAAATATGTTATTTGTAATGTATACCAATTTTATAAAAGCTATTTACAGAATATACCAATTTTATAAAACAGGCTATTAAGTAATCCAATACAATGGGTTGATAATCCATAAAAATAACAAATCCATCAATCCATCTTGCAAATACCATTATTTTCTTTATCTTGCCTTCTAATTTCTCTGCCAGAAGCAATCCTCTCTCAGGCAACCTCTTTGCTAATAAACAGTGTGACTTGTTTGGTAATGTTTTGATTAATTGATTTTTTTTTACAGCTTATCAACCTTTCATGGGCTATTTAAAGCCAAAACATATTTAGGATTGTAAAAATATATTCTTTTTTTTTATGAGTGAATATTGCATTAACAGCTTTTCATTTAGAGAATAATAATGATTTTCCCCAAATACAAGTACTACTATTTAATCCATAGCTAGAGGGAGGAAATGAGTTCATACCTTTCCCAGAGGTATTTGCTTGTAAGTGAATACAATAAACATGACTGGGATTTGAACTCAGCTCTCTGATTACTCATTGCAAGTCACTATCCATTACACCACATGAGCATCCATGACTTGTTTAGCAAGAGACTGGATATTATATATAGTAGAATGGTCTCCACCACAAATGATGAGATATGTACACATAGATAAAAACATGTTTTTTTTTAGAGATGGTATTGCTTTACTATTGACAGTGATGTTCCTCTTCCTAGCAGATGTAAGACAAGATCTAAAACAACAGTTAGCCATTATATGTACCACTATCTTTTACTAACATTCTGAAGGTGGGACTTTTTTTTTCTGTCAGGGTTTACTTAAAAAAAAAAAAAAGAAACTAAATGAAGTTGGCTAGACTATATACCCAGACACATGTTTAAAAAAAAAAAAAAAAAAAAAAAAAAGATTCATATTTAAAAGTTTAAAATTTCAGTATACTTTCTCCTTCATGCACATGTGCACTCAACATAAATATCACTTTAGTCTGATGAAGTCCTAAAGGATGAAACGTGTTACAAAAAATTTTTTTCCATTTTGTCATAGTTTTTCCTAAAACTGTTCTGATATATAAAAATTTATATATTGTTTTCCCAAGAAGTGATCTAAAACAATAGTATGTCATTATATGCAAGGCCATCTTTTGCCAACTTTTCACATTCCAAACGGTAGAATTTTTTTTTGTTGGGTTTTACTCAAATAATGTTTTCTGTCTCTGGTCATGACAGTGTAGTCTGCAGTTAAATCATGCTGAAAACACTGGTTCTAATTTGATCACCAAAGTTCAACAGCATCAAACTATAAATGGTGAAATCCATTTTATTGGTAGATATCCATAAGAGAATTATTCTATTCTAGCAATTATTCCTAAAAAAAAAAAAAAAAAAAATGATGAAAAGCAAATATATTTTAATATAAGTAAAACACTAATGATTACAGCCATATCACATCAAAACAGTGATTCTTGTCTAATCACCAAAATTATGCAATATTAAGCATCAGTACCGAGATGGTTTTGGAATACCAGGTTGGAGGTGCAGGGAGTTTAAGGAGAAATCAGAGAGCCGAGTTCAATTTCCAGTTGAGTTTGCTGCATTCTTATGCACAAAAACACTGTTAGATAGGTCGGAAGCCATCTTTTCTTCCATAGCTATGGGCTAAGTAGCGGGAAAGACTAGGTTCTATAGCCTTGAATGGCAACCAGTCTACTACAGAAAGAAACAGCAGCCTACTGTGGAGATTCTTCTACCATGAATTGAAAAAGAGACATGATTTCCCATTGCACAAGCATGTATTGCATACGGCATCTAAAGAAGGAAGAAACACTCTAATAAATAATTAACTATGACAGCCTATAAAAAGAATATTGACAATGCAGATCACTGAGTTTTATATCAATGACATTCCAATTTGTCATCAAATTCGAATTTTGTAAAATCTATTAATCCAAAACAATAACAACATAACTTTGTTGTTGGGATACAGGTTTGGTTAAAGGTTAAAGGCTGGGGTTCAAATTCCAGTATTAAATCAATGAAGCTTGGAGGAGATCAAAATTCATTATCTTCATGCTTCATATCAAGCACTCATCTTAAAATGAAATCAATGATTTCTCTAAATCTATGAATGCAGAAGTTCAAAATTCACCTTCATCTGAGATAGCATTAAAGTTCAATTCAAGACAAATTTTATCTCCAACCTTAAGACTAACAAAATTTTTGTTACTCTAATATCTTAATTGGTTAAGAAGAAAGGCACGTGTGTGTTTTATATTAATAATAAATTAACACAATATAATTTGATCATATTTTTTTACATTAACTTTTTTATATTAGAAATCCATCAAAAAATTCATATCATGTATAATTTTTTTCAAAGAGCTGCATGTAAATATCTATCTATATATATTTTATTACTTAATTATAATTTTTAGTGGATGCCCATATTTAAATATTTAGTGGATATATATATATATACACTGTTGAAAGAGAAATACAATATTATTTTTTTCAAGGGGCTGGGCAACTGCAGGTGGGAAGCACCAACACTCTGGAATAAAATCAGAGGGAGATTGGGGTGGGGAAGTGACCAGAAGAACCAGTCTTCCAGCAACAACCTTCTTGTTCAATTGAATTTGAATCTTTCAACATAAACAGGTTAGGAAAGAGAAAGAAGTGTGTACTAGGAATTAGAAGCCGATCAATAATTCCAGCATAAAAATATCGATGCTGCTACTATCGTGTCTGTTGTTCAATGCAAAGGATTGAACAACTACTTTGACTATGACTACTAACTGCCAATAGTAGCCACTAACTGCAGCAGTCATCATGATGAGCATCCCATATATATATATATGTATATCTCCAAATAAGAATACATACTAAGTAAAGTACTATTTATATGTAAGCATTATATGACGAGGACGCTGACAAGTTCTTGGTACAAAGCACTTCCAAAAATCAGACCAAACATTAGAATTTAGTTATGCTGAGAACTTTTCAGAACCACTTAACATTGGGGAATACTGATTGATCTATTTTTTATGGTTTATCAACTCTTTGTGGGTTTATTTAAAGCTGAAATATAGTTTTCATTGTAAGAAAAATTATTTTTTTGTGAGTGAATATTGCATTAATTTTTTTTAGAGGTGACAATGATTTTTCCAGATACGTTCTATTATTTAACCCATAGCTGGGGGAAGTGATGGATTCATCTCTTTTCCAAGAGTATTCGTCTGTAAGTGAACATGTAGATGATGAGACAAAGTGAAAAATTTATGAAAGACGTGTTTCATTGGGGAGTGTATGCTTTCTTTGGCTTACTCAAGTTAGTATGAAAGAAAAACAAAACTAGTTGGAAGCTTAGAGATCTCAAGGTATTTTCGTTCCGCACATCCAGGCTTAAATGAATGTAATTAAGCTGACAGGAATTTGAACTCGGTTCTCCGTTTTCTTGTCCTGAGCACTTATCCATTACACTAGCCAAACCTCCAAGCTTACAGCACCTGGAATTCTCAAGCAGTTATCCATCTAAGTACTGACTAAGCTCAACATTGCTTAACTTTGATGACCGGATGAGAATAGGTGTTTCAACATGATCTGGCCATAAGCCTTATATTGCAGTAAGAGAATATAGACAATGCTGAGAAAGAGATATCATTGCAGATAAATCTGAATTAGAATAACTATTTAAAAGTTTTGTATCAAAGAGATACAAACTTTGTTTATTGCATTGCTGCTGCCTTTCATTTTTATACACAGGCCAAGGTAGCAAAATCTTTCTTTGAAGAGAAAGGTTTCAAAGACAGACAAAAATTCTTTCATTACCCTGCCTTTGGAGCAACTTATTCTTCTACATACCTCATAGAGTAGTGCTACACAATCACAAACAAAGAACTGTAGCAAATAACAGGAAGCATAACACTTGAGAACTTTCAACAGCTGCAACAATTAAAATGGATAGCATACATAATTCTAAGAAAAAATAACGGCATAGATGGAAAATGTGACACTGAAATTTGAAAGTGTAGTGGGATAGCCAATGTTGCATTCCAAAAGCTAAGCAGAGTACTAAGACATAAAAAAAACAAGGAAACAAGGAAAAGAGTACTAAAATGTTATGTGATATCTGTCCTCTTGTAAGGCAGTGAGTACTGGATGATCTCCTCAAAAATGAACAGAGTTGAAGCAACAAAACAAAGCTGAAGATACCAGGGTCTGAACATGTGAACAACAATGAAGTTTTAGAGAAAATGGAAACAAAAGGAAACTTCTACTTAACATCAAGAATAGACAATTGAGATTTCTATGGTACATAATGAGGAAGAAGGGCTTGGAAAATCTGATACCCACAGGAAAGATTGACAGCAAGAGGAAAACAACTCATAACATATTTAGTGAGCTCGAGTAAACAGATGGCGAAACAAGGTTCAGGAGAAATAACAGAAATACAAAATTTATTAAGAACTACAAGGAAGTGGTAGAGAGCCATGATCGTCTATGTCCTGTGGTAACATGGCACATAAAGAAAGAATAAAGATGCTGATGTTCCACATGACTTGAAACACAAGTTTATGAAAAAAGCCTCCATCAACAGTTTTTTTATAATGTTCACCTAATACAAGGCCCAAGGGCCACTCAAAGTAGAAGCTTACTGTGTGGAGTTGAATTAGCATAAGAAAAGGCAAGATAACAGGAAAGATAGCTAATTCTAGACTTGAGGATGTCAAGATTTAATTAGTGAATAAAATTTCAGAGTTCAGGTGAAGACAGGAGTATAGAGTTGAATTAGACTGTAGGAGGGACCAGAAACTCATTCCTAAATAGGAAACAAGGGATGAACCTCTACACTTGTTCAAAATACCAGGGACAAGTGTGAACCGGACAATAGACAAACCTATCTAGAAAGAGCAATAACAGAAATGTATTTTTCCTGAAAAACTGTTTTAAGAGAAAGATTTTAGAAATTTAAACTGAAAGTAGCACTGGATGCTACATCAATGAAGGCCAAATGTTTCTATATTAGGAAAAGGTTAATATGTCCAATACTATGATATATATATATATATATATATATATATATATATATATAAATAATGGACTCTCCCGTCAGTTTCGATGTATGAGGATCTGACAGCTTAGTTGATTGTGCGATAATCTTAAGTGGCATTTAAGACCCCCTAGTGATTTACAAAGGAGGCCACATATAGAGCAAGTGTGAGGATTGTGAGAGGAGATCACTCTTAGATTGGCTGACCTTTTAGATCTTGCTCTCACTTCTTGAAGATGATTCAGACAAGCAGATTGAAAACTGCTGAGTCCACTAAAACACATTGATCTCCATTCTACCCACTCCAAGGCTAAGCGCTCAAGGGTGTTATGTGGTATATTGACTGCTGACAAGTTGCTTTTCAGCTTGTCTTTGTATCTTAGCCATGGGTGATATATATATATATATATATATATATATATATATATATATATATATTTTTCTAAAGAATTAATGGTTTTATTTTTAATCAGACATTTTTATTACTTCAAATGCTATTACAGTAGAGCTGCTTTCCAGCTTCAGTCACTTCCTCACTGCCATAATGTAACTTACCTGTACCTTTTCTAGAAATATTTTTATGGTAATTGTTCTGATGGTCTTTCCACTATGGTTCCTAGACTTTATGAAATTAAGAACAGTACTAGATTGGTGGCAATATCTCATCCTTTTACAGTTGAAATGGTTAGATGTAACCGTAAGTTCTATGCTAACAGTTTCTTCTATCGCCCTTCTCACTTGTAGAAATCTCTTCTGGCTTCTTGCTTCCCTATCAACTTTGATCTTCAAAAATTCAAATGCAATGTCAATCATTTCATTTGAAGTCAAGAAAATATGAACTTTAAGCAAAGTGGTCAAAAAATATAGAAAAAAATATCTTCTTAATTATTGTTCTTTTAATGTTCTCTCTTAATAGTGTTTTTTCTCATATTCTCAAATAGTCAGTTATTCCTTGCATCTTAGGAGCGTTATTTCCCTTGCTTAGGATGAAATGATAAGAAAGACTATATAAAGTGTCCACCTTGATAATGCTTGATGCATATATATATATATATATATATATTATATATATATATACACACACACACACATATATATGTATGTGGTTGCATGTAAAAAAATTACGTATAACTAAAAATAGAAACAAAAACAATATGAATAAAGATGAGTTTTCATTTTATCTTTATTCATATAAATCTTGTTTAATACTGTTTATTATAAACAGAGCATTTACTTAAATATTTTGTATCTATAAAAAAGAATGTATAAACATAAAAATGTCTTAAAATATATATATATATATATATATATATATATATATATATATATATATATATATATGTATGTGTGTGTATATATATATATATATATATATATATATAAAATAATATAAAATCCATAAGTGCTAAGAATAATCCAAGTAGGTCTTTTTAATACACAATATTAGAAGGATAGATCCATGAAGAGAGCTCATTGTATTTATATACAGAGCAATATGATTGGTCAAGTAATTTAGACATTTACTTCCTGTTCTCTTGTGATGTAATACATTGTCTGGATAAATTTAAACTATTTTGTAATTTTGGCCTTATAAGGCAGATATAAAAGCTCATCTGTCAAAATAAATTTATTACCAAATTAATTCTTCAATGAGGTGTTAAGTATTTCCTTTGATGTGTGTGTGTATATATATATATATATATATATATATATATATATATAGATATTTGTATCCGTCAGTTAAGTACCATATGTGATATATGCTTGGATACATGCCTTTCCCAAGGGTATTTTCATGTAAGTGAATGTAATGAACCTGACTGGAATTTATATTCGATTCTGATTTGTCATTCTAAGCTGCTATCCATTACAACCACTGTGTATATATGTGGATATATATATATATATATATATATATATATATATATATATATATCATCCACATACAAGACTATATATATTATTCTCATACATCGAGCTCTCTACTAGGAGTTTTACCTGGATATTCATTTTTTGGAAACTCCTCAGGATTATATATATTAGATTCTCATTTTTAAATGTGATGTGAAATTCAAGAACAAATAAAATATTAAATTAATAAATATCAATTGACTGAGATAAAATAATGTTTCAAGACCAAGCTGACATCAGTGGTGGACTTGCCAAGACATTAGCTTGCCCAGTGTCAAGTGGGATCCCTTTATCAAGTAAACATACAATAAAGAAACAAACACAAACAACTATTTTAGTAATAAAATGGAATAAGAACTTTACAAATCTGCACACTCTCAGTGACTTAAGTCCAATGTGAGAGGACATTTTCAAAGCTATCATAAAGACAAGGTTAAGAAATTTACTTCCTGAGAAGAATTTGGAATCATACATGTTGTTAGCCATTGAAATGGAATTGTGAGATGATTTGGATGCATAAGCAATTATTCGTAGATTCAAACAATCATCTAGTGAACACAAATGATTGCTCTTAATATAGTGGACTGCATGCAATGCTCTACTGTGCTTTTAGATATTTATTAATGCATAAATTATGCAGTAAACTATTTAAAAATATCAACCAATTACTTAAAATTTAAAAAAATAAATAAAAAATTCAATTATAACTTTCTGTATTTACATTTGGTATCTATTGCCAGTAATATATACAGTACATGAACACTGTAATTACTAAGAAATACACATTTTTTTTTCCACAAAAATTTTAATTGTACCCTTTTTTCCATATTTATTTCTTTTTAATTTTATTTACTGTATATACTCACATATTATTCGACTTTTAAAATTAAATGATAACATTGTAATTATGAGTGGGCCTACTTTGTCTCCTGGCAACCAATATTTTTAGACCCAGTCTGCTACTGGCTGAATTAATTTAAGATGAAAGTCTAAGTGGGTGGCGCAGTGGAGTAATGGATTGCAGCTGAGATTGAGGAATCAGAGAGCTGAGTTCAAATTCCAGTCAAATTCATTACATTCACTTACATGGTAATACTCTTGTGAAAGGTATGAATCCATCTATTCTCCTCTCAGCTATGGGTAAATAACAGTACATACTGGGTTCTATAGCCTTGGGTGGTAATTGGTCTAGGAGAAGGAAAAACTCTGAATTCAAAACTAGTCTCATCCAACCACCTGCTGCTTTCTAGGTCCTGCCTCTTTAGGCAAAGGCTAGAAGAAGATAGCTGTTGTATAGCTCCCTCATTCTGGGGAGCTCTTGGGCGATGACATCAATTCAATAATAAAGTTGCATTCTTCTCTCTTGGCTGGTGATCACTAGTTGTTTTGATTCAAGATAGAAAGAACAACAAAGGGAATTTTACTTAACTATTTTATTAATCATGTCAATGTATTTATACAGCGGGTTTGCTCTCCCTCCACTGGGGAGCTGTTTCAGACACAAAAAGGACATGTCTACATTGCTTGACAATTAAAACACGACTCCCTGAAAACCCATTCTCTATCTATTGTTCGCATGCTGGTTCAGCCAATCAAAACTGACTTCCTTGTTTTGTCTTCCATCTGACCTCAAAGGTTAACCTCAGGA